TGTCAGTAGCCAGGCCAAGTCTCTGAGCTCCTGCCTGAGGCTCCTTACCACCTCCTGATCCTTCCCTGGTGTCCCGTCTCTTGTTTCCTGTCTCTCTTGCCTGTCATTCTCAGGACTTGGGGCCCTCTTGCTGAGGGTCACAGGTGTTCACCAGCTCCTTTTCAAGCTCTCCTTGTTAACATCTCATGATCCCCAAAGCCATCTCATGCTGGCTTTGCCTGCCCAACACACAAGCTCAGGTTCTGGGCCAGAGGCTGTTGGGAGGCCTGATGGGTATGAGAGGACGCCCGCCTGCCCGCCCATGAAGGAAGTTGACGGAAGTTCCTGGGCAGAATAATAACAGCATGCTCTGTTCCAGCCGCAGCCTCCCCGCTGAGCCTCCCCCAAGCACTTTGCACATGCAATGCAGACCTGCTGCCTGGGGGACCTCCCGGGTCTGAGCCCCCACTCACAGGGACTGCTGTGCTCCTGCAGGCGGGGGCATGTCAGAATCTGTGTAATTAAAAATGAGCATGCATCACTTCATCCAGCAAGGAGATGCCACCACCTCGGGTGGGACGCCACAGCTGTTTGCTGGCTGTGTAGCTGCCCTGCTGACCAGCCTGGCATGTAGAGGGCAGGATAGGGCTTGTCAGCTCAGGAGGCCCAGGGGCACTCACCCTGGGGCAGGAGATAAGGGGCCATAATGGGCTGGGGAAGGCATCCCTTTCTGGGCCCAGAGTATGTGTGGGTATGTGACCTAGTAGTTGGCCCAGAATCATTGTCCCCTCACTGTGGGAATCTGGGGCCACCTCACTTTAAGTAGACCCATCCTCTGGATAGACTCCGTATTCGGTCTCCAGCTGTTTTCCCACCCCCAGTGACTTCCAGGGCACTCTGAGAGCAAGCCTGCCTCCTCATTCTTGTCTGTATCTCTTCTGATTCAGTAAGACCTGCCAGTGTAGGCACTGCAGGGCCTTTGGGGAGATCTTGGCCAGACCCCTTTTCAGTAGAGGACCCTGAGCTGATTAGGCTGAATGCTTGTCCCCGCCTAGAAGATGGTTCAGCCTGAGGTGAAGAAGGCATGTTCCATGGGTGGCAGAGGCAATGGCACCATAGCATGAAGTTGGTGGACTGTTCCCTCTCTTGTCTGCTGGCATCCCTAGGTGATTGAGCCAGTGTTGGTGGGGGCCATGCAGGTGGTTGAACTTCCCTGGAAACCCTGGCATCATAGGTGACATTCTCACATACCACTCAGGTTCTCTTTCTGCAAGTCGGTAGACAGAAGCCCTAGAAGTGCATCTGAGGGACTGGAACCCCTGAGTCCAGTTTCCAGCAGTTTCTCAAGTACCCGGGCATGATGAGCTCTGACTTCTGGTTGAATGAGGAGGACTGTCTGTGTCTCATCAGGGTTCATTGGGTCTGTGTGTGGAGGTGAGCTGTTGTGGGCTTTGTTGGCTGACCGGTGGCTTCAATGGCTTGAACAGGTTCTCCTGTCCCAGCAATGCTTCCTCAAGCCTCTGATGCCTGGGAGGACTTCAGCCCCATTCAAGCCCCTTAGAAGTACCAGCCAGTGTGGCATTGAGCTGGTGTCCTTGGCCCTCTGCAGTTGGCTCACCAAGGGATCCCTGGGGTTAGCTGAGGGAGAGGCAGCTGGCCTTGCCTTCCTCTGACGATTTTCCAATATTTACCATCTCAATGACATGCCGCCCTGGGGCCACAGCTCCTCCTGTGCAGCGAGGACCTGTGAATCGACCCCAGCTGTCCCTCCTCCTTCTGAGGCTGTACCTGGCTGGGAGGGGAGAGGCTTGTCCTCTTTGCCAGATCACTCAGGGACATGGCAGAAGATGAACGCTTGTTTCTTCACTCTCTATCGCAGCCCCCTACCAGACCCATTCTTAGTGGGAAGAACATTGAAGGGAGGGCCTCTTCAGAAGAGGGTGCAGGGACAGATAAGAACGCTTGCCTGTCTATGGGCCTTGGTGGGAAGTTTGCTCCTTTGCCTTCTCTCTGCCTCTTCTCTTCTATATCTGAGCCTCAATTTTGACAGGACCTGGCATGTGTTATGATTTGGGCCTGAACCGTCAATGAGAATTTAATTAGCTCCTTGCCTGTCTCTAGCAGAGCGGGTCAGGGCCTCGAGGTAGCAGTGGAGGAGGCTGGGCTGGGGTACATGGCTCCCCCTCCAGGGTCCTGGGGACAGGCTCAAGCAGCTGGCACTCCCTGTGTGGGACGCTGTGAGGAGGGAGGGCTGGGCAGGAAAGGAATGACTGTGTAGCCAGGCCACAGTTTTCTCTCCCTCCTCTGTCTCCCCCATTCCTCTGTTCTCCCCGATGGCTTTGAGATGAAGGCGACGGCAAGGATGGAGGATGCAGTTTCCATGGTAACGGGGCTGTCCACAGCCAGGCAACTTCAGACCTGGGCTCTCCGGAGGAGGCAGATGCGCAGAGCAGCCGCAGAGCTGCCTCCTGCTTGCCAACGAGGGGGCTGGCAGAGCAGGTGGCACAGGGTGGCTGCCTCGCACTACCCACCCTAATGCCTGGCCCAGAGGGGAGGGTGGAAAGAGCATTACTCCCTCTTATCCTGCTACTGCCAAGTTCATCCAGAATGGAAACTAGGAAGGAAGCTTGGGTGCCAGTGGGGGCTGTGGTAGGATTGTCCTTGGACTCTGGGTGGACACAGGCCCTGGTATCTGGAAGTATCCCACGAGCCAGCCATCTACAGCCCTTGAATGGGCTGCCAGGTGGCTGATAGCCACTCAACAGGACCTTTGAATGCCCAGAACATGAGGATACTGGTGACAACTATTCCCTGACTGCATGGAGGGGACCTTTTGTTCCCTCTGGCTCCCAGGGAAGGCCCTAGACCTTCTTCAGAGAGCCTGCTTGGCCTTAGTCCTGACCCTGATGACTTGTCCGGGTTTGCTGAATGTTGTTCAGCAAACAGGCAGATGCCTGCTCCCAGATTCTGGCAGTGAAGGGGTCTTGACCTTTTCATTGGCTCTTTCCTACTCCCGCGGCCTTGAGTACCTCTTATTTCCTGATGTTGTGTCCTTCCTCGGCCCCACCTGTGGGCCAGGGCTAGGTGGGTATCAGTTGTGGGAAACCCTAGGTAGCGTTCCTGAGAATCAGGAGTGACTGGCCCTTCCTGGTGCTGGAAGTGCTGCTGAGAAGGCATCACTATACCCTGGGCTTGCAGTCTCTTGGTTGTTCCAGATGGGCCAGCACTGGGTTCGTGTGACAGAGGTCAAAAAATAGCCAAGTTGGGAAAAATTCCTGGCTTCAGACTCTTTAAAAATAATTACTTCCTCTGGGATCAGATTGACAGCAGCAGCTCGAAAGATTAGATAGGAAACTTAGGGAGCTATGAGTTTGTGTTAACAAGGAGGAAAAAAACACCTAAGAGGATTGAGGTTATACAACTTGGAAAAATCTCATCAGTGTCACCGAATTGTACAGAGTTCAAAGTGTCTGTCAAATTGATGTATGTTCTACCGTATACATTAGCAACAAAGCGGAAAGCAAAATAAACCATTAGAAAGTAGAATAATAATGACTTCCTTCACTGACGCTGGTCTTGTTAGCACAGTAGGGAGCACACCCTGAGGGCGAAAGGCTTTCTCTAGGTCTGTGGAGTTTAGTGGCTGAACTCCTGCTGGACCTTGAAGGGCCAGGCCCTCTGCCCTACCTGATCCCACATGGCCATGCAGGTCCTGGCTGCAGAAGTCATTCAGGGTCACTTCTCCTTCCCCCTCTCCTTTGGGCTCATTGTTTACCCCTCTTTGCTTTAATTGGAGGGGGTTCCTTGATCCCAGATTGGCCTGGCAGACAGACAAGTGGAGACCTGGAGTGGCTTCTCCCCGCTAGGCGCTAAGTCTCTCATTACCACTGAGTGGAAGGCTCATTTCAGAGCTCATGGTGAGAGCCGGGCGGGTGCTATAAATAGCCGTCTTGTGAAGGGTGGCGGGCGAGCAGTGACAGGGCAGGGGCTGCACTGTCATCTCAGTGGTAATTGTGCTCCATCACTGGAAAAGGAGGGTGGGTTCAAAGCAAGAGACACTTGACCCCAGTTCTGGTTGCTCCTGCCTGTTCCAGGCAGCTCGTGCATGTGTCTCTGTCCCATTTCCACACACGCCAGGGTGGGAAATATCAGGCTCTGTGTCCACACGGGGGCTGGGGGGTAGTGGAGTACTCATCTCAGAACCTGAGGGCATTCCTAGATACAGGTGCTACCGCCCACTGGGGAGTCAGGGTAGAGTCCAGGCTGGACCTACTTGGCCAGCCAGCCTCTGTAGCCTTGGTTTGATCTCCTCCCCATGACCTCTCAACGATCTAGGCTGTTAAAACCCAGGATCTAGATGTGAGCAGAGGGGAAGACTAACTTTATCTGACAACCTTGGAAGTTGTTACAAACCCAGACCAGCTAGAGACTAGGAGCAGAAGTGTGAGTTAGCTGGCCTGGGGCCATTGTCCAGGATCTGTCAAAAATATGTCTGCAGGGGAAAGACTAGAAGTCAAGAGCTTTAGCCTCCCTTGGTGTCTTTGTCAGGCCAGATTGTCCAGGCCAGAAGAGGGGTCAGGGGTCCTAGGAAAACAAAGGTCATACCTTGGTTTGGTTTAAATGCCTGGCACTGTAGTCATGGGTCCCTGCCCCAGGGTAGTCCAGGGGTGCTAAGCTTAATGGCTGTGTTAGACCACTGGTTTTTTTTTTTTGGTTCCAGATGCACGCATAGGATCAGCAGTGCTATACTATGCCCTAGTGTTCCAAGCTCACATCTGCCATGGGGCTTTGTCCCTGGGTCTTTCGACTGCTACTTCCTGAAGTGAGGCCCTGCTGCTGGGCTGCTCCATGTGCTTCCTCAGAAAGATTTGCATTTGGGAGAGATAGAGACATGAAGTAGAGTCCATCATCCCCCTAGGAGGGAGTAAGCCTTTGACAGTTTCTTGGGTCACCCAGGCACAAGTGGATCGGGGACCCTATAGCGTTCATCCGTCTTTTTGCTGTTTCCTGCCTCCGGTTAGGAGCGGAAGCTGTGTGCCCATCCTTGGCTAGAGATCTACCAGCAAGACCAAATCCACTTCATGTGCCCGTTGGCCCGGCAGGGAGACTTCTATGTGCCTGAAGTGAAGGAGACGGAGAGGAAAAGCCGGGGGTCTTTGGAAGCTGACGACACCATGGTAGATGACACAGGTAAGGGCGGAGCCCACCTGGAAACAACCCCCTCCTCCCACTTAGTCTAGATTGGCATTGGGTTGGTCCAGTCATTGAGTGGCAGACCTAAAGGCAGAGCTGTCTGTGTGGATCCATGTAGATTTACACACATCGCTAATGAGTAACACTGATAAAAAGGCCCTGCCCAGTGTAAACACCAATATAAAGCTCCCTTCAAGTACAGCAGAGCTTCCCTTAAAGACACAATTGACAGACAGTGGGATTCTGAGGCAGCTCTGAAGGGGTCACTTGAGTGAGGCCAAAATTGTCACTGGGTCTGGATTATAAGGAGAAGAACAAGGTAAACTCCTATCCCGAGGGTGGAATCCCACCTAAGGCCAGCTTCTTTCTGCCTGTTAAATGTTAAGGGATGCAAGCTGGGCAAACCCCTAACCAGAGTAGTCGGCATAGATCAACCTTGTGGGCATGCTAGGAATGGTCCTACCCAAAGTGAGCCAGGAGGTCAGAGCCCCCTGCTCCTTCCACAGGAGAGCTGCCTACCCCCTATTGGCTTTGTACCTCAGACGCAGGCCAGCAGCTTTCTTACCTGCCTGCCATTGCTGTGACCTCCTGTGAGATTCTGTAGCTGCCCCCTGGAGCAAGGAGTCCCACTGCATACATCCCAGGTGGTCTCAGAGGACCCAGTATTGGCTATCCTGGTGGAGTCCAGCGTAACCCCTGGAGGCATATGACCTCTGGGCACAGTAAGAGCTGAGGAACCAGCCATCCCTCTAACACCTCTTTTAGCAGGTTTCCCTCTGCCCAGCCAGTCGTCACCAGCCAAGGTCACCCTAGAGAGGCATATGTCGGTGAGGGCGGGGGTACCGGGAGGCAGGCTCCACTCCCTAGGGCCCGTGTCCAACAGAGTTAACTTCATCTGCCACTTAATTACCTCCATGGGGCTGCTCCCACCCGCCTGGTAGTGCCCGCTAGACACTCTCCAGTGCGCCTACTGTGGGCACAGAACATGACACAAGGTCAGCAGCCCCAGACAGTCCTCAGGGCAGGAAGCATGGGAGCCTTGACCTTCCTGCGACCTCCCTCTGATGTTTGCCACCCCTTCCTCAGCCCACCCACCCAGCTTCCTTCCCCCAAACACTGCCTGCCAGGGGTGGTGACGGACTACTTGACACCCACTGCAGCTGGCTGCAGCCCCAGCTCCCCACGCCCCCCAGCTCCTTGGCCTGTCCTCCCTGCCAGCCTGCCCGCCCACTCCCTGGTGTGAGGGCCGAGAGGTCTGCCCACCTGACAGGGCCCATCCTGACACTGAGGCGGGCCCTGGGTGTCTGCCCACCAGGTGCATGCCAATTGCACAGCAGTGTGTGGTGGGAGCCTGCTGTCCAAGACGAGGCCTGCCCCTGCCTGCCTCCCCACTGGGGCCCTGGCTTGGGCTAGGAGGTGAAAGGGGGTGATTAGCTGCCTTGCTCCTGTTATTACATTGATGTATTATTTAGCTCCAGAGAGGCAATGAATATTTGATCTCCTTGCACTCTCTGTGGGCAGAGGGGAAGGGAGGGACTGGGGTGAAGGTGGCGACATCACATCCCTGCTCCAACAGCCATTGGAACGGAGACTTGGATTGTATTGGCTCTGCCTTGTATCCTCTCCCTGAGCCACAAGCCCAGGGCTCACTCCTGTACAGATCTTGGTGGTTTGAAAGGATGCTGCTACCCTGCCTGGGGCTTCTTCCCTGTCTGGGGCTCCTTTGCCTAAGTGTCCACATGCCCCCTGAAGGTGTTCATGCTGATTGGGTCCTGGCCTGAAAGGGGAACCCTGGGCCCTGTTCTCTGAGCATTCTTAGCACAGACGTGGAAGAGAGGAGATGGCCGGATGGCAAGCAGCCAGGTTCCTGTACCTGGGGTCCCAGGAGGGCAGTTAGGTGTGTAGGCAGGCAATCCTGACAGCTTAATGGGGCTGGGAAGAAACTGTCCCCCTCCTTCCAGGCCTAAAGTTCTTGTAGCACTAATTACCATTTAAAGATTGAATGAGGGGCTAGAGTGACCCCTGCTCTGTTCTGAGGTCAGGATGACCATTCCCAGCAGGGTTTGATATGGGCTTCATGTACATGCCTCCACCCCACTGTACAGCCCCCACCCAGGAACTTTTCTTATGGCTCCAATAAGTGGAGGGCTGTGGGCCAGGAGCTTTGTACTCCTGAACTCCTTTACCTCTGCCAGTGGGGCCTAGAGGGGATCCTCTCAGGACTGAGGGGACTGGTGGAACAGACACCAAGTTTTCCCACCCTTAATCCTAGGCCTCAGAAGAAGCACAGTGGTCAGTCCAAATGCCAGTCAGTCCCCACCTGTCCTTGGCTGGGAGTCCATCACCATGGAGATGAGATGGGCGCTCAGGAAGTGGCCCATCCTTCCCACTCTTGATGTTTGGAAAGGAGAAAGCATCATCCTTCTTGCAGCTGGATTCCTGCGCATAGTGATCCTGAGCTCTGCCCCACCTTGCCTGCTCTTCCTCATTGCTGTCCTCTCAGACCAGCATTCACTGCCCCCTGAGGGAGGAGATGGATTGAGGGTATGGAAGGGGCAAGAAGCACAGCCCAGGCCCTGTCTTGGAGCTCCTCAAGCACCCAGAGAGTGCCCTCCTTTTCCCCTCCTGATGCCTGTGGTGCAAGAACTGCCCATGGGGGTAGGAGTGGGCACAGGGACAGGGGCTTCTCTTGTTGACCTGAGCATAGAGGAAGAAAGCCCTCAAAGTGCTGGCCTTCTCCACTCCTTTGCAACTGCTTGAACATTTCTCAGCAATTCTTCCCCCCAGCACCTATCCCATCTCCTTCCTCAGGTTAGCCTCAGAGAGATCTCTCTGCTTTGAGCCAAGGCCAGGGTCAGCCCTGCAGGGAAGGGCAGGTGTAGGTCTCCTGGTCCTTTCTCCAGTGTCCATGCCTTAAGGGTCCATGTTCTTTTTAGTGGCCTTAGACAAACCACTCTCCAAGCCTGAAATGGGAGGGAGGGGGCATGTGGCTTGGGCCTCTTTGTTCTCCATCCACCCTTCACCTCAGGGCTTAGTGTCCCTTAATGGACTGGGATGGGGGAGGCAGGAGCTTTGTGGGAGTGCAGGGAACTGAGGCTAATTCAGGGTGGGGCGAGGAGTCAAGAGTGTCTGCCTTCTCTTCCTCTTCTTTCTCTCCTGCTCCTCCTCCCTCTCATCTGTATAGTCTAGTCAGGGCAGAGGGCAGAGGGCAGCTGGAATGAGCCTCCTGAGTCAGGGGCGGCTTCATTATTCATGAAATGATGCACGTGGAGTCCGGCCAGGCGAAGAGCTTCTGCCCTCTCCCTGGAGGGGTCTGGCTTCCTCTAACTTGTGCTCCTCTCTTCTGGCTACAGGGGCTGACACGAGTGACAAGAGTTCTGTCAGCCTGGATGTGGGGCCTGGCAGCCGGGAGCCTTCAGCTGCCACGCTGTCCCCTGGGGCAAGCAGCCGAGCCTGGGACGATGGTGACACCCGCAGCGAGCACAGCTATAGTGAATCTGGAGCCAGTGGCTCATCCTTTGAGGAGCTGGACCTGGAGGGCGAGGGGCCCCTGGGGGAGCCACGTCTGGGTCCTGACGCAGAGTCCCTGGGGCCTGACAAATGGCATAGGGAGCCCAGTACTCCTGAGAAAGGCGAGGAGTAATCCAGGCCCACACCCTCTCAGGGCACAGATGCCGAGGAACCGAGCAGACTCTTCCTTGTCCCCTCCTGAGCATGGGCCAGGGCTAGGTCTGAGATGACCTGAATCTCCCAGCTCCTGTCCGCAGGCCTCTAATCTAAACCTTCTACTCACTGCTCTCTTGGCTACTAGGGCCAGAGGAGCCAGGAGCTATTCTCTCCACCAGCCCCCAGGGCCTACCACCCTTGTTGTCTTTTTTCAGGTTCACATGGAACTTCTGGGACTCAGAATAAAACAAATGATTTTTTTTCTTGTTTCACGTGGATTTTTGTTGTGTGTTTGTTGGTTTGGTCTACCTTGGGGAGCCCTGTGCATGTAGCTGGGAGGAGGCAGGAACCTCCCTAATATAGGAAGAGGAAGGAACATAGCCAGGTGCCCTGGGATGGAGTGGGGAAGAAGGTATACTCCACTCTCCTGCTCTTTGACTCTGGTTGACAGATGTCCCTCCACTGAAGAGGGCCATTGGAGGACAGCAGAGCAGGCAGGGAGTGTGAGAGCTGAGTGTCTGGGGCTCAGGAGCAGGGAGCTTGCAGTCTGCCTTTGTCTGCTTCCAAAGGATGCCTTTATGTCTGTGGCAGAATGTGCCACTGCTCACTGCTACCTCCCCAGCAGGTGAAGACGTCACTGCCGTGCCTGCTAGTGCCATGTACCGGCGTGTGTGACGCACACACATGCACACGCCTTCCATTCTGTGCACATAACCATGTTTGGAACTGCCATCCGTGATCCAAGTGGACAGCAGGTTGTGATTGTGACTGGCTATGGTTATTATCTGTGTGGATGATTTCATAGCAGTGCGAGGGTCACCGTGCTTGTGTTGCTGTGCTTTGTGTGACTGTGGTTGTCGTACAGAGTATGTAAACCTGGCTAGCTGGGAACATCTCAGTAGGGGCTCCCTCTGTATATAGCTCCCTATGTGTGGCTGAGTCTGTGTGCAGCTGTGATTGTATTTTCATATGTAAAGCTCTGTCCAAATATGTATAGCATGTAAAGCTATGTGTGTTCATATGTATCCATACATACAGATGTATATGTACTGTGGCTGCGTCCATGTGTTCACCCATGTGTGTGTGTGTTCGTGTGTCCATGTCCCCAAATCTGGGAGTATGCCCTTGCCTGTGTGTATAGCTGGGAGTGATGGCTGTGCTTAGAGATGTGTGTAACTGCACATCCATGTAGTGTATGAAGTTGTGCAGGCCACTTGTCGGGGCTGCGCGTAGCATTTGCATATAAAGCCCCATGTCTTCTGAAACTGCTCAGTGGCATGAACTGGGCATGCAGCTTCTCTAACAGAACCTTCCTGCTGTCATCCCCTCTGTTGCTGAGGCCTGGCCCATTGCTCACCTGCCCCAGGGAGCTGCACTCTGCATTATATAGAGAGGGGGAGGGCAGTTAGTGGCAAGTCAGAACTAGAAGACTACTCTGTCTCCCTAGCCTTGTCTGACAGCTCCGAACCCTCATCCTGCTGCCACCTCACCTCCTTTTAGTGATTTGAATTTGTGTTTGTTTGTCTTTGATGTGACTGTTTTTGTTCAAAGCTGTTCTTTCCAGAGCAGTGGGGCATTGGGTTTCTATGTGTTCAGGGGAAAAGCTTGTCCTTGGTGACCTGCTCCGCAACTGCCGTGCGCGCACATGAGGGTGTGTGCACAAGGAGCCTGGAATCTGCGATGCACTCATTAATACAATCTGAGCCAGCTTTGCCTTGACACCTGTGGAGCAAAAGGCCAGGGGCAGGGGACTCGATATGTGGACTGTGCCCCCTCAGCACTTGCTCTTGTGTATGCATGCCAGGGGTGGGGAGGGGTAGCTAGCAAAGGGCTAAGGGCAGATTTTAGCACAGGCCCCCTTCCTAAAACCTCCATCACAGTCTGGCACCACAGCTGGAGTATCCACCACTCAGGGGTGGCCTTCCCCATCCCAGTTGTAGGAGGCAGGAGTCAAGAGACTCTTCTCAGAGCTGTCCTCCCTCTGCTCAGGCTCCAGCTCCAGCTCCCTCCCACACAGCAGCCAGTTCCAGGAGCCTTTCCCCGGGCCCTTTCTCCTCACAGATCCCCTGCCAACTCCAGCATGGGTTGACTCTACTTGGCTCTGGCCCCTCTTCCGAGTCATATAGGTTGACTTCTCTTTGCTTTGAACGTCCTTTGCATATGAGAATGGGGTTGAGAGTCAGATTAAGGAGGTCAGAGCTGGTGTCTGAGGGCATCTGCAGGAAGGAAGGGAAGGTCTCTCCTCTCCTCTGCCTCCCCCAGCCTCATCCACCTAGTGACTAACGCCCTGCTTCTCACCTGTAAGGGGGCAAAGACACAAGCCTTCACCCACACTCATGAATGTCTCATGGATGTGAGAACAAGGATAGATCTCCTGGCCTCAGGCTAGGCGTTCACCCATTTCCCATGTGCCCTCTCTACTTATCCCGCTAGGACCAGCCCCTCTGCCCTCATAGATGAGAACCCATGGCTTTGTGCGAACCTTTCAGGGCTCATTGGCCCGACCTTGTCAGCCTTGGGGCGCTGAGGGCCCCATCTAGGCACTAACTCCAGCGCAGAGCGGGAGCGCCCGGGGATTCAGCACCACGCGGCGGACAGCTCCGGGACCGGCCAGCACCGCGAACAGTCAGAGCCGGATGCGCGGGGCGCAGAGGGGTGGAGGGGTCCGAGGGGAGGCGGAGGCCGGGCTGGGAGCGGGAGACCCGGGGTGGGGAGGGAGCGAGGAGGGGCTGGGGGCGGGCCGGGGCCGGGGGCGGGGCGGCCGCGATTGAAAGCGGCGGGGCGAGCTGGCGGACGGAGAGCGCAGAGCCGCGGAGCGAGCGAGCGAGCGAGCGGGAGCCCAGCCCGCGCCTCCCGCTGCTCTCTTCCTCTCCACGCCAGAGCCGGGCGCGCCAGGTAGGGTGAGCCTGGGGATCTGCGGCTACTGCCGACCGTATCCGTCCTGACTCGCGTGCCGGGGACCCATGGGCCCTCGAGTTCTGATTCCCGGGCCGGGCCGGGCCGCGGCGTCCAGAAGGAGCTCTTGGCGAGCTTGGGGAAGCGGGAAGATAGCTCCGAGCATCCCGCCTTTCCTGCCTGTAGGATGCGCGCCCTGCATCGCACTCCCTTGCTTCTGTCCCTGCCCCTCTGTCCTTCGGGCGGTCTTTCTGCTTCTATCCCCCCCTTCTTTGCCTTGCCTCCCGAGTTTGCTTGCTCCCTGCTCGAATTTTATGGCCCTGGCACCAGAGCTGCCCTCTTTGGGGGCTCTGTTCCCCTCTGAGCCTCCGAGCCTGCGTCCAGGCCTCTCCTGTGGAGAGCTTTGCAGCCTTGGCTGATTTTGGTGTCGGCTCTATCTGTCCCTGACCCTTTCTGTGTTGCTATCCATCTCTGCCTCTCCTGTTTGCCGGATCAAGTAGCTCCTTTCCGTGGGCTCCCCACAAGATCCCATCCCCTGGTCTGAGAACCAGCTAGATTAGCCCTGAGGAGTGGAGAGGGAGAAAGTGAGGAGCTTCCGTTTCTGTGGCCCTTGAATGAGTCGCTACCATTCTCGAGCCTCAGTTTCCTTTTTGATTCTGAGGAAAGATGTATATCCCTTTCCCAGGCTCTCTAAGCCTGCCTGTGTGATTGTTAAAACGTGTGTGAGGTTGGTGTTAGGCCAGGAAGTTGGTGCGTAAGTGATGGGGTACTGAGTCCAAGAGGGAGGGCCAGTGTCTCTGAGGGCCAGAGTGTGGCTGGACAGGGCCCTGAGACTGAGGATGGAGGAATGGGAGAGGGTATCATCCTCGGTTTGATGATGAACTAAAGAGAAGGCTGAGGCACCAAGTCTCAAACAGCATTCTGGATAGAACTAGGGAGTCCCAAATCCCCACCCCCGCGCCGGGCCCATTTTGAGACTCTAATCAGACCAATGGTTCCTCTGCTCACATTTGGTTACCCTGTTGACTTTAGGACCTGTAGCCAACCAAGTGTCCCTTCCAGAAGACATTCTCTCCACTTTACCATCTTCCCCACCCGCAACTCCACCCCAGGACCCAAGATCTCCATTCATAGCTTCAGTCAGGAGGTCTGGCCATGGCTTTTTATAAGTGCTCACTTGGGATTCAGTCTCCCCAATGGTTGGAGACTATCCTTTGGAGAATATCTCTTCCCTGAAGCTCAGGGTGAGTATTGTATCCTCAAGTTTGTAACTCTGAAATGGCCTCTGTTGCAAAAATGTTGACTCTGGGGTCCTGGATGGTTGGTGTGCTGGATGTCAGACATCCTTGATCCACAGAAGACTTGTGGTGGTTGAGGGGGTGCTGTTTCCTGTCTGGTACCTAGCCTTCACTCCTGTGTCCTCTCCCTCTGCTGAGTTTAGGATAGACACAGGGCTCATCTCCAGCCCCAGATCAAAGCAGGACAGGAAGGCAGGCCCAGGAAGTGCCACTGGAGCTGCTCAATCTAGTAATGACTCTGCTCTCTCACTGGCTCCAGGTGGGGGAGAGGCAGTCGAAAGGACAAGGCTCTCAGTTTCCACTTTTCTGGGTCTGTTTGTCTGTCTTTCTGCAGGAGCTGGGCCTTTTCTTCTCTCTCTTCCTAGCTGCCCTTTCCTGGCCCTTTCCCCTGCCCCAGCATTCCCCACTCTTTGCCTTTGCTGCTTCTACACTCATCCCGTGGAGGTCCAGGTCTGCTGGGCCCTCGTCAGTTCCCCTTTTGGTCATGGGATCGCTGCTGGGGCTCCTGGCACTGCTGCTGCTCTGGGGCGCTGCGGCTGAGGGCCCCGCCAAGAAGGCACTGACGCTGGAGGGGGATCTGGTGCTGGGTGGGCTGTTTCCGGTGCACCAGAAGGGCGGCCCCGCCGAGGAGTGTGGTCCGGTCAACGAGCATCGCGGCATCCAGCGCCTGGAAGCCATGCTCTTCGCACTGGACCGCATTAACCGCGACCCGCGCTTGCTGCCCGGCGTGCGCCTGGGCGCGCACATCCTCGACAGCTGCTCCAAGGACACGCACGCTCTGGAGCAGGCGCTCGACTTCGTGCGAGCCTCGCTCAGCCGCGGCGCCGACGGCTCACGCCACATCTGCCCCGACGGCTCTTATGCCACCCATGGGGACGCTCCCACTGCAATCACGGGTGTCATCGGAGGCTCCTACAGCGACGTCTCCATCCAGGTAAGATGGGCGGGGACCCTGGGGAACTGGGACTGGAGGCAGAAGTCTGGACCCCGAATTCCCTCTGAGAAATTGAAGCTTTTTCAAAAGCTTTATACAGAAGACTAAGAAATTATAAGAAATTACTCTCTCACAAAAAGGTGGGTGGATTTTTAGAAATGATGTTTCCCCCTCCCCTTTATCTTTATTGGATTGGCTGAAAATCTTGAAGGCCAGACCCCCAGGTGTGAATCCTGGCTTTATTGATTGTGCGTTAGGCCGGTAAATTATCCATTCTGTGCCTCAGTTTCCTTGTTATAAAATGAGACCCTTAACATTCCCACCGTTGAGCTGTGATGGAGGCTTAATGAGGCAATCAATACATATGCAAAGTGTAATAAAAGGGGGCCTGGCAGGTCAGAAGGACTTAATTAGTATTAGCTGCTATTATTATTAACCTATTTCATAGGTGAGGAAACAGAGGCTGGGTGATAAGGTGGTGGCAAAGCAGAGGTGAACCTCCGGCTCTGAGCCAAGGCCTTTCTCATCTGTTAGTCTCTTCTTGGTTCGGAGAAAGGTACACAAGGAAAAGCCAATAGCGATTCTGCAAAGAGAAATAGAGAGATGGATGACCAGGAAGAAGAGAAGCTGATTCTATGTGGTGCTTGGGAAGTAGGCTACCTCAGGGCCCTTGGAAACACAGGATTTGATTGTAAGGAGAGGGAACCAGATCCCCCTCCGCACAAGACCTGGGGTCAGAATTGCTAGGTGTGCAGATAGCTTCCTCCTGCTCTTCCCTAAACTGTCAGCAGAGGGCGCTCTGTTGTCCAGCATCTTCGGAGCTGCCGCTCCAGCTGATATACTTTGCTGCTCCGAGGTTGTTTTCTGGTCGACCTGGATGAATTAGCCCAGGTAGGGTTTCCCTTCTCCTAGTCTAGGCCCCACCTCTCCAAGATCAGACACCTGCCTACTCAGTGTTCAGCATAGGATCCTGGAAGATGAGGCCAAACCTGGACTGGAAGGCATTCAAGAGGAACTTTACATGGGGCCTGTTTCCCTGTTTCCTTTTGGAGGCTGACTCAGGGCACTGCCATCAGCGGCCGGGCCAGGGACCCAGACCTGGAGCACTTGTTATGAGGGAGTCAGAACTAATGTTAGCTGCCCTGGGACTGGAGAAGTGTCTAGGTTACGTTCCTGGAAGCCAATTTCAGCTGCTGAAGGTGGTCAGGGAGCAGTTTGAACAGGTGTGGCTGTACCAGCAGTGACATTTGCAGCTCTGCCTTGAGGACAAGGATGAGTAGGTGGCTTCCCACCTGCAGATTCTGGGGCAATTTCCATGTTCTCTTTAGGGTCCCATGCGAGCCCGGTTATGTCCTCCTGCCCTCCTCCCTTAATGACCCACCTGCATTCTCCGTGTGCTGGCAACATGCCTTCTACCTGCACCTGCCCATTACCATCTCCTTCCATTTGTACTTTTCTCTCTTGACTATGTCCCCACCTCTGATTACCATCAAGCTGGATCCAACTTAGAACTGACCTTCCATTCTGTTTCTAAGACTGTGTATTGCATGAATGCGATTGTCCATCTAACTGCCAGAGAGGTGCAGACTTTGTGTTTACAGTGCAATTCCCTATGAACTGCTCCACCATGATGCCCCAGTACTTTCTGTATGGCAGGCACTGTGGTCTCATGCACATGATTGCCTTTCCTTTCTGAGCAGCCTTGGGAGGCAGAGATGAGAAACTATGGCACCACAATATGAAGTGTGGGTGTGGAGAAAGGGGAATGAGCAGGAACACTTGAACCGTCAGAGTCAGAGCCTGTTTTCCCAGCTACAGATATACCCATTTCTCTCTAATCGACTGGTTAGGTTCTGAAGACCAGGTCGTTATGCTGACTCCCATCAGATTTAAAAAAAAAAAAAAGGAGGATGACTATGCAATTGCATAACTCCCAAAGTGCCTCATTACATAACTGCCAAACTCCATCAATACAAAACGGCCAAGCCACTGAGAATCGCAGCCCAGCCAAGTGGACACGTAACCGTCACAGCCAGCTGTACTCTCACCTTGGTATTTGTTATAGCCAGCTGTGTTTTGCTCATATGTAGAATAGTGAGATAGCGTGAAATGTTGGATAACGAGGTAGTCATTAAGGAGAAACAGAATCTGCTTTGGGCATTTTGCAAGGAAGGACCAGTCCTTGGAGAAGGACATCATGCTTGGGAGGGTGGAGGGATGGCATGAGAGAGGAAGACTCTGGATGGGAAGGATTGACTCAGTGACCAGGGTAATGGGGGTGGGTGTGTTGGAGACAGTGAGACTGTCCCAAGATAGAGCAGAGTTCAGAGCTGCTGTACATAGGGTCGCTATGAGTTGCAGGTGACTCAATGACACTTAATAACAACATGGTTAAAAGAACCCAGCCTGTTCCTGTTCCATCAGATGACCCTTTACTCTCACCTACTCGCCATTCTACAAAGTCCTTAGCAGGACCCCGTTCTCAATGGTAGGTGCCAGGGAGTCAGTGGTAGAACAGGAAGCCTTGTCTATTTCAGACTCAGAGACCCAAAAGAAACCAGTACCTGAGTTCTGAGTGCCGTGGGCGCCTATGGTCTGGGTCTCCCTTCCTAAGAAAGCCTTTTCTTTCAACTTGTGCCCCATTCATTCCATTTTTCCTTCCCTTCATGAGAGGTGTCATCTACCCTTGAACAGGTGAAGTACATAAGCACCGTGATCACACACCTGATGCCATCAAGCAGTCAAGTGCCAGCTCCCTCTAGTGGTCAGATCTTCCCTGGGCTCCCTACCTTTGCCACTGCTGTGTGTCTGGGGAGGGAAAAATGAGGAAGAAGCTGGGAATGGCTCCGATTCTGTTTTTTGGGCCCTGAGTCTTCTCTCTCCAAGCCATGGGGAAGGCATAGGAAAACCTCCTTCTTCCCAGAAGGAAGACACATCCAATCAGGGTAACAGGTCTTTTGGGAGAAGGTAGTCTGGAGTCTGTTCTCATGGACATGTGACTCAGAGCTGCATTAGCTGTAGGGGACGCAGCTCCTGACAGGGCTTCACTTGATCTCAGACCTTTGCCCTTTCTACTCCTCCAGGTGGCCAACCTCCTCCGGCTGTTTCAGATTCCACAGATCAGCTACGCATCCACTAGTGCTAAACTAAGCGACAAGTCCCGCTATGACTACTTCGCCCGCACGGTGCCCCCTGACTTCTTCCAAGCTAAGGCCATGGCAGAGATCCTCCGCTTCTTCAACTGGACCTATGTGTCCACCGTGGCATCTGAGGGCGACTACGGTGAGACTGGCATCGAGGCCTTTGAGCTAGAGGCGCGCGCCCGCAACATCTGCGTGGCCACTTCGGAGAAGGTGGGCCGTGCCATGAACAAGGCGGCCTTTGAAGGGGTCGTGCGGGCCCTGCTGCAGAAGCCCAGCGCCCGGGTGGCTGTCCTGTTCACTCGTTCCGAGGACGCCCGGGAGCTGCTCGCGGCTTCCCAGCGCCTCAACGCCAGCTTCACCTGGGTGGCCAGCGACGGCTGGGGAGCCCTGGAGAGCGTGGTGGCCGGCAGTGAGGGGGCTGCTGAGGGTGCCATCACCATTGAGCTGGCCTCCTACCCCATCAGTGACTTTGCTACCTACTTCCGGAACCTAGACCCCTGGAACAACAGTCGGAACCCCTGGTTTCGAGAATTCTGGGAGCAGAGGTTCCGTTGCAGCTTCCGACAGCGGGACTGCGCAGCCCACTCACTGCGCGCTGTGCCCTTCGAGCAGGAATCCAAGATCATGTTCGTGGTCAATGCCGTGTACGCCATGGCCCACGCGCTGCACAACATGCACCGAGCTCTCTGCCCCAACACCACACGTCTCTGCGATGCCATGCGGCCTGTCAACGGGCGCCGCCTCTACAAGGACTTCGTACTCAATGTCAAGTTTGATGGTAATGGTGCTAGTCCTGAAAGGGAGGGGGGCAGTAGGCCCTCAGGTCTAGTTACTCGGCCTAGAGAGTAGGGCTGTCCAAGGGGGCTGGTGTCAGTGAAGGACAAAGATGGCTTGGCGGGAAGGGCTGCATCTGGAGCCACGACTGGGCCCCAAGTTCTGAGAGCCTTCCAGAAAACAGGTATCTGATCGGGGATCAGGTCTTGTCACACTGAGGGACTCTTATTTTTTTTTTAAGATAGATCTTTTTTTTTTAAATTAATTTAGTTTGTTTATTTTTCATTTCAATGAACATCTACAGAGATTTTGGAATTCCATTCATTCATTGTTGCACCCTTCTCCCCGCACAAACCCCCCCCCTCCCCCTGTTTGCTCCTCTCACTTTACCAGCTCCCCCGCCCCCAACAGACCAAGGGGAGAGGCCAGAAGCTGCAAGCCATGAGAATCAGAACAAGGAAAAACATCAGGATGAGGATCCTTTGTGGGGAACATTCTTCTCATTCCTACTTTCCCCCTACTTTTTATTGTTTGAGTCGACTGAAACTCTATAGAGCCAATTGGTTTTCCCTTCAACAACTCATCACACTATGGTTTGTGACACTGATTGCAAACCCTACATTGTAACAATGCTTTCCCTATTTCCTCACTGTGTGTCCCATTTTCATTTGTCCTTTCCTGTCCATTCCTGTCTCCTGAGCTTTATGGATTTTGATCTTACATGATTGATGGGTCTAAGGTATGCATTCTCCCATGGTGTTACAGATCTCATTATAGGCCTGTATATTGTTGGGCTAAAAGTTGAGTCCTGAGAGTGATTTCAGGTCCAGGCTGAAGGGTAATCAAGGGTCATGTTGTTGTTGTTGTTATGTGCCGTCGAGTCGCCTGCAACTCATAGCGACCCTATGTCCAACAGCCCTAAATTCCGCTCTGTCCTGTGCCAATCGCACTGTCTCCGACACTCCCATCCCAATTATCCCAATCACTGAATCAATCCACCTCATAGAGGGCCTTCCTCTCCTGCGCTGTCCCTCCTAGAATATTCCACCAGTCTCTATCAGACCTACTGCATTTTTTATTATTTTGGATTTTGCTCCATAATTTACTCCCACTGTGTCAGGGACCATCTATTATGATCCCCTTCAGAACAGTCAGCAGTGGGAGGCGGGCACTACCTAGTTCTTGTGACCTCAGGGTCATGAAGACTAGAGTTCACATTCCTTTGGATCAATGGTCTTTGATTTTTCCTAACTCTTCTTTTCTCTGGACGGGGCGAGACCTCTTGTTGTAACTTAGATGACCATTTGCAAATTCCCAGGATTCTAATAATTTAATCCTAATCTTTGTTGTTTTTTTCTTTTGTGGTGGCCAGTTTTGTCAACACAAAGATTATTTTCATAAAAGTTTCAATTTTTAAAAAGAATAGCCCCAGAGAAGAAATCCCATCTTTGAGAAGAAGTCGTGGTAGGAACAGTGGGAATGTCTTGGAAGCACTGGCAAAAGACTAAGACATAATAATAATTCCAATAAGATTACTATTCAGAATCACAGACTCATCAGAAGGATTTGGGTTGGAGTCTGAGGTCTGATAATGTCAATCTCACGGCCTTGAGTGGGTTTATGATAGGCGTAGAGTTGGATTTTGAGGTTGAGTTAAAGAGGTTGAGAGGCTTAGGGGAACCTGAATTGAATCTAAGTTATGTCACTTACTCATAGGACCTTGAGGATATTGTCTGTCTGCTTGAGCCCTGATTTCTTATAGGAACCTAGAATGAAAGGAGTCCTTGCTTTTGTACTTGGCTGGTTCACAGGGAACAAGGGGGTGGGGAGTGGACATGATCTGAGTCCTGCTGAGCTGGACACTGGTGAACGTTAGTGCTTGCAGATGACTGCTGAGGTTGGGGCTCACTGGGATCTGCTTAGAACTGGTGGACGCTGGAGCTGGGGTTGATGTTTATGGCATTAAGTGGATTCAGGTTGAACCAAGGTTAGGTTTAGCCTGGAGTCTCTGTGTTAAGTTCGGGGAGAGGGCTTTGGTGTGTGCTGTGATGGAAGTGACAGTTTGGGACTTGGGCTGGTGTTTGACTTGGGAGTAGTTGGAGGCTAGCTTGAAGATTTGGTATGGGGATCATGGTTAGGCATCAGTGTAGGTGCCAGGTTTAGAGACACATCTGGGGTTATAGTTGGAGCCAAGTTGGTGATGATAGGAGTTTGATATTGGGCCTATACTTGGATAGAAATTAGTTAGAGAGTCTCTTTTGGAAAAATGACTGAGGGCATTCAGGCCTTTACTATGGAGAGAGGATAAGAAAGAAAGTGGTGGCATGAGCACTGGGGTTTAGGTTCCATGTTGGAACAAGAGGTGAAATCTCATCAACATAACCCACCAATCAATCCTCTTTTACTCCCCTCCTTCACCCCCAGCCCCTTTCCGCCCAGCCGACACCCACAGTGAGGTCCGTTTTGACCGCTTTGGCGATGGCATTGGCCGCTACAACATCTTCACCTACTTGCGTGCGGGCAACGGGCGCTATCGATATCGGAAGGTGGGATACTGGGCAGAAGGCCTGACCCTGGACACCAGCCTCATCCCGTGGGCCTCACCCTCGGCCGGTCCGCTGCCCCCGTCTCGCTGCAGCGAGCCCTGCCTCCAGAACGAAGTGAAGAGCGTGCAGCCGGGCGAGGTCTGCTGCTGGCTGTGCATCCCGTGCCAGCCCTACGAGTACCGGCTGGACGAGTTCACCTGCGCAGACTGCGGCCTGGGCTACTGGCCCAACGCCAGCCTGACTGGCTGCTTCGAGCTGCCCCAGGAGTACATCCGCTGGGGTGACGCCTGGGCTGTGGGGCCCGTCACCATCGCCTGCCTGGGCGCCCTGGCCACGCTCTTTGTGCTGGGCGTCTTTGTGAAGCACAACGCCACGCCAGTGGTCAAGGCTTCAGGCCGGGAGCTCTGCTACATCCTGCTGGGCGGAGTCTTCCTCTGCTACTGTATGACCTTTGTCTTCATCGCCAAGCCGTCCACCGCGGTGTGCACTCTGCGCCGCCTCGGCTTGGGCACGGCCTTCTCCGTCTGCTACTCGGCTCTGCTCACCAAGACCAACCGCATCGCGCGCATCTTCGGAGGGGCCCGGGAGGGTGCCCAGCGGCCACGCTTCATCAGTCCTGCCTCACAGGTGGCCATCTGCCTGGCACTCATCTCAGGCCAGCTGCTCATCGTGGTGGCCTGGTTGGTGGTGGAAGCCCCGGGCACAGGCAAGGAGACGGCGCCTGAGCGGCGGGAGGTGGTGACGCTGCGCTGCAACCACCGTGATGCCAGCATGCTGGGCTCGTTGGCCTACAACGTGCTCCTCATTGCCCTCTGCACGCTCTATGCCTTCAAGACCCGCAAGTGCCCTGAGAACTTCAACGAGGCCAAGTTCATCGGCTTCACCATGTACACCACCTGCATCATCTGGCTTGCCTTCCTGCCCATCTTCTATGTCACCTCCAGTGACTACCGGGTGAGTCACCATGACGGGGGTGAGGAACAGAATGCTGAAAGTTTTGTTTCCTGCTATCGTGTTTCATCTTCACTTATATCTTATTTAATGCTCACTCAGGGACACAGAGCGTGTGGTGGCACAGATGGGACTGGACCCCAGGGAAAGGGAGGAGGTGGAGTGGGGCCTGAAGAAATGCTCAGGGAGGTGGAGAAGTTAGAGAGCTGAGAAGAAATTTCAGGACCCAGATGTCATCCCTTAAGCTGGAAGAAGAAAGAGGGCATAGAGATCTGTCCCCATGGGCAAGGGCTCTGCTCTGCTCAGCAGAAGGACAGCTACAGAAGGGGAACCCTAGTTCGCCCTTGCCCTTGGGAAGCTCCTAGAGTGTCTGAGGTCACCAGGGATACTGATGACTGGTTTGGGTTAACACGAGGCCCCTAGTGAAAGTGAAAAAAGAGGCATGTGAGTATATGTGTGTGGTGTATATACAGTGAATCAGGGAGGGCTTCTTGGAAGAGTAGTTGACTTGTGCTTGGTGGGATTGTTGTGTACTGTAGGGTCAGAATTGACCCATAGCGGACCTTCTGGCGGGTTTTCAGGAGACTGCCCATCCTTCTTCCACAGAGCTGCTGGTGGCCTTGAACCATGTACCTTTGGAATTGCAGGACAGCTAAGAAGGCTTGGCTAGGTAGATGAAAGAGTTTGAGGAAGACAGCCAGTACGGAGGCTAATTGGAGTAGAGGCTCCACACTGATCTTCTGTGTTGCAAAGAACCATAATGGAGGAAGGATGGGGAAAGATGCAGGTAGAACAAGATGACAAAGTTATCAAGTCCTATCATTAAAAGGCTGCTGAGCTCCAGTGCCCCCCAGTTGTTAGTTGTTCAGTGCAGCACAGTGTCACCTGAAGATGTGCAACATGACAGCACAGGGGTGGGAGATGAAGCCAGAGGACACAGGAGGGTGGGGCAGGCCCAAGGTAAGGGGCTGAGGAGCTTAAAACAGGTGAAAATTGTGTCCCTGTTGGCTTCCAAGCCAAAGCTGGCATGGAGTTTCTCAATGAGGTCTCCTTGGCTGTGATGGGAGATGACTGCTTCACATTGGGGGGGTGGGTATGGGAGGGACTGTCAGGGAAGGCCTCTTTGAGAAGGTGAACTGAGCCCCAAATTATAAATGGGTCATTTTGGTCAATTCCTATGATTCTGGGCTAAGTTCCATGGCTCTTCACATTTTATAGATGAAGAAATGGTGACTCAGGGAGGTTCATTCCCTTGCCCAAGGCCACCCAGGTGGGTGTGCTGAGCAGGGAATGAACTGGCAAACTTAAATCTTAAAAATCCTTAAATCTTAAAAAATCCTTTTAAAAGATCCCTAAAAATCAAAGGAGATGGAAAAGTGAGGCAGAGCTATTGCAGGGGTGCCTTCCCCCAGGACAGAGATGTGGTGGTGCATTGCTGGGGACCAGAGGCTGGGCTGGGCTGCTCTGCCAGCACCTGCTTGGCCACCTGCCTGGGTAGTGGAGGCCAGGGCTGAGGAGGGAATCTGCTCTGACTCAGCCTAAATTTGCATATTATTTGCATGCCAATCCTGAGAAGGCAAGGATTCACAGGGCACACAGATACCCATTCTGAAACAGGCATGCACATGTGCACACACATCCTACAACTTACACCTACACACACACACACTTTACCCCATAGAGGCACGTGCCTTTGCAGAGATATACAGATATACATGAATTTACGTGCATGTGCTTTATACCTACCTGCACACACTCCACACGCTTACATTCAACCACATGCTCACTCCCGGGCTGGAACTTGGAACTTGTGGTGCAAATGGTCCACTAGGGCTGATCCTGGGACTGGCCGGCCTTCCTAGAAAGCCTCTTAGGTTTTCAAACAGACCAGGGCCCGGTGTAGGGAAGACCATTGTCCTCCCTGCCCCACCCATCCAGCCCTGACCTTTGAGAGGAAGGACTCGTCCTTGACCTGTGCCTGCTCCCCCACCCTCAGGTGCAGACCACCACCATGTGCGTGTCGGTCAGCCTCAGCGGCTCCGTGGTGCTCGGCTGCCTGTTCGCGCCCAAGCTCCACATCATCCTCTTCCAGCCGCAGAAGAACGTGGTTAGTCACCGAGCGCCCACCAGCCGCTTTGGCAGCAGCGCTGCGGCCAGGACGGGCTCCAGCGTTGGTCAAGGTCAGTCTCCACCCTGAGCACCGTTCCCCACC